TAGGTAGTGTAAATTAATATGTTATTATTAATAAATTATGATATTATTTTATTATTTTTTATATGAGTAGTGTTGTTATTTTAAATATTTTTAGTATTATATCTTAATAAAATATATATAGTATAGATGTTATTTTTGTAGAGAATAAAATTTTATATAATACAAATAAATAAAAAATTATTTATTTAGTCATAATTAATTTAAAACTAATTTTATAAAAAATGAGAAGTTTTAAATATAGAAAAATATTTATTTATTGAGGAGAAATATAAAATAAAAGGGTTTTGAATGGATGTTACGTGTAAAAAATTAAAATTTTAGTTAAATTAATTTATATTTGCTAACTATATTTAAAATGAATAAATTTATTAAAAAATATAAATGCGTCATCTTTTATTAGATCGACAAAAAAATAAAAAAAAAAATTACAATACTTATACATAAACATTTATGCGAAAATCAAACACTAGTATTATAAATACAATTTGCTCTCTAACTACTAATCATTCAAAGTAAACATGCTATATTTATAATTTTGTTAAGAAATTTTAAAAAAAAAAATAATACTCCCTCAATCTTAGATAATTTGGGCGTGTTACTGTAGACACGAAAATTTAAGTAAAGTATGATTAGTAAGTAATTACAAAGTGTATTAGTAAAAATAATTATAGATTAAGATTAAAATAACTAAATAGTTTAATTAAGATTAAAAAAATTATAAAATATAAAATTTAAAATGTAATTAAAGTGTATAATTATATTTAAAAAAAAAAAGACAAATTATGTAGAAAATAAAGACAAATTATGTGGGATAGAGGGTGTATATATATAGTAACAAATGCGGTTGTAATTATTGTTATTTTTTGAAACATAAAATTCATGTGATGCTTATCATGTTTGTTTATAATTATTGTACAATGTATAAGAGTATGTTATGTGCTAAAATCAACTGTTATATATCATATGTAAAATTATATTACTTATTATTAGTTTATTATTGTATTGTCCGTAAGCACATGGTGTATTATTCAGTACAGTGCTGAATTTTATGTTCAACATTATAGCCGTCGACGAACACGAATATATAAGAAAATAAACAATATATATTTTATATTAACATATTACTAATATAATACATAAACAAACAGGTATGACATAAATCTCAAATAATACATGTTATCATTGACTTCATCAAAATAAATATATTCATACAAACACATTAACGAGTATGAACAGATTATTATGTTGCTATCAGCACTACGATTAAAATATACTTTCTCCTTCGCTTAATAATCTATTCATTTTTTCATTTTGGTCCATCTCGTAACAAAGTATTCATTTCATTTTTTTTAGTAATTGTACCGTCTATTTAACATTACAAATACCCTTCAAATTTACAATATATTACACAAATATCATTACCTTTATATCATACAATACCAATATGGGTGATTTAGTCATTTTATCTTTATTTATACTTTATTCCAATATAATACTAATAATACTAAAGTTTCGTACAAAAAAACAAATGAATATATAGATATGAAATTGGGGGAGTATATATCAACATACTGCCGGTTCCCACGTCATAATATATATATATATATCAACATATACATTGGGGAAGATAATGGATCTCTAATTAGGGTTTAAGATGCAACTTTTAATGGCTATCCGGAAAGTATCTTCATTACAGGGAAGCAAGATTCTGTCGCCGGAGAATCCGTACGCGGAGGCGGCCTGATCCAGCAGGCGTCGGAATTCGGAATTCTTAAGGAAATGAATGGGCACCACGTGTCTCCTCATCTCCGCCTCTCCGACGTACACCACAATGTGGCCCCTCGGCGTAGTCTCCGCCGTCTCTCCGCCGGCGATCGGAATCCTGCAGTAGTTTCCCATTCCACCTCACGACAGAAAAAATAACATTAAATAAATAAATAGCGATTTATAAAAAAGCGTGTTTTAGTATTATAACTTTCTGGGGAATATATATATATATAGGATTGTGTGAATTTCTGCAACTGTTATTGAACAGTGGTTCTGCCGGCGAGCTGAGAACGTCGACGACGTGTGCATGCATGCGTCGTGGAGTCGGTGTACGTGAGCCAGCCAATCAAACGAGTCCTACGTGGAATGCTGAACCGTGATTGGTGGGACGGATAGGAGGACTTTTACAGGGGTAGAAAAGTCATTTCGGCTGTTAATGAAATGGTGACCACACGTTTGTATAGAGGTTTTAAGAAAATGGTGGCCACATGTTTTTACGTCGAAGACTTTTTCTTTTCTTTTTTTTTTTTTTTTTCCTTTTTATTATATTGAAATCAGTAATTAGTAAATGGTGAACTTAACTCAGCATTTGGTGTGTGTTGCCCGAAAGTTTCAATTAATTTAACAATTTTTTATATAATAATTAAAAATATGTAAATAAGAGAAAAGAAATTATTTTCTCTCGTAACAAATGATATACTTCTTCCGTCTAATTTCTATTGTCCTAAAGTATATTTGCACGATATTTTAGGTGATTGTCTTTTTGTTATGAATTGACAAATTTGCCCTTAAGTGTATAGTAGATATTAAAAATAATAAAAGAATTAAGGGTAAAAAATGTAAAATTTGTATTTAAAAAAAGAAATAAGATAATAGTTGTTGGACGTTCCAAATAGGAAAATAGGACATTAGCTTGTGGACGGATGGAGTATTTTTTTTTTAGTCTGTCATATTTTACTTATACATTTTTATATAGTAAAATGTATTAATTTAAAATATAGGTGTGTTTGTTTTGAAGTTTGTGTTTTGAATTGGAATTTGAATAGTAAAAATTTTGAATTAGAATAATTGTACGATGTGATATAAATAAGTGATGATGTGATGTTTTAAATGTAAAATTAATTTTTAAAATAATATAAAAAAATAAAAAATAAATATTTGATGTGATATTTTTTGAAAGAATATATTATTTTTAAAATAAAATAAAACTAAATAAATCCAAATCACTAATATTATTATTTGAATATTGTATCATAAATTAAAAGAAAGAATACTTTAATAACTTTACTATAAATAAATAAGCATCTTCCAATAGGAAATGAACACAGCAACCTGCAATGGAAGAATAAAAAGGAAATGGGAATGTGGATCGTGAGTTAGGTGTGTTTGGTTAAAAATAGGAGTTGTGAAGAATTTAAATTTTATGATGAATAATGAGATATTGTTGGTTTTTATTTCAGTTATGATTAAATATATATAATTAAAAATATTTTTGAAATTTTAAAAATAATTAAAAATCCTCCTTAATTATCTCAAGGTATTCTCCTGCTATTTTTAATACTTAACATAAACTATTTATTTCATATTTTTAGTAAATAATGACTTACTACTCATTATAAATACATTCAAATTTACATTAGTATTATTGGGTTAAATCACAAAATAAAATAATATTGTTAGTAAGAGATAATCTGATATTGTGAAGATACACTCGTAACTATTGTTTGCTACACATGTATATTGAAATTCAATTTATAAACTAAAGGCACCCTATATATATATATATATATATACATAATTAATATAAATTAATTTATATAAAAAAGTATTTGCAATATATTTGGGAAAATTATAAATAAACCCATTTTTTAAATAATTGAACAAAAAACACATTGAAAGTACAGTGTAAATATAATAGTCAAATATACCCCATCAAGTATGTATCTATCCATCGATGATAGACACACGCCACATGTACCCATCCATCCATCCATTTTTTTTTTATTTATTTGGGTGTGTTTGACAAATAGCTTTTTAAAAAGCTTCTTATTGAACAGTAAAAAATTGTTTGACCAGTCAAAAAGTTAATTTAGATGTCTGGTAAATTAGCTTTTTTAAATAATTTTTTGACCAAAAAAACTAACTTACTAAGCATTTTGAAATAGCTTTTTCTGTAATTTTTTTTTTATTTCTTATATGCCCTTATAAATTTATTATAAATTTTACACAAATAAATATATTTTGATTATTTATTAATTATATTAGAATATTTTATTATATTATAGTTTTACTTTTATAAATTTAAAATAAATAATTTTTATATAAAAATTATTTTAATTGTAAAATATATAAATTTATTAAAATCAACATAAAATAAAAATATAAATATTAATATTTTAATTTTTTATTAAAATTACATTATATAAATTTTATACTAAAAATAAATTAAATTTATTGAAAATTATAGATATAATGAACTAATCGATAACTAACATAATAAATATATACACGATAAATTTATTATTTTATATTTTATATTATTTTCAATAAAAAAAACTATTTATATATTTTAATAAAAATATATTATTTTTTAAATCTAACTGTAATAAAAATAAATACTTTTATAACACTTTTACAATTTTCAATAACTAACAACAAAAAATTTTAAATATTCTAAACTCAAAAAAAACATAATTGAATATATTATAAACAACAATAAAATAGAAATGTCTTCAATTGTCACGTATAAACAGCTAATATCAAACAGTTGTTTTACCAAACATTTTAATACAAACAACTAATCAAATCGGCTAGTCAAACCAACTAATTGAATCAGCTAACAGCTTATTGCCAAACACGCCGTGGGCCTTTTTGGTTTTGGGGAGGGGACAAACAAACATGTCAAAGTGGGTTGATTTGATCCAATTTAATTTGATCACAAGCTAACCTAAGCTAAGCTACGAAGAAGGTTGCTTGTAAAAGTGGGTTGGTAAAAGTAGGTTAGGATATACATCATCATAGCCATAGCCATCGCCATAGCCATAGCCATAGGGGGCCAAAATTAGGACAATTCAATGTAATCAAGCAATAGCCCAAATAGAAAGATCATGAAATGGTGTCCCTGTCTGTCTGTCTCTACATTTGCCCACAAATTCAATTCAATTCAATTCAAGGTCGTGGTAGCACCTTTCATGGCGTTCACACTACAAACACAGGCTAAATCAAAAGCTGAGAAAGACAGGAATTCATACACAATGCGGCAAATGAAGAGGGTGATTCAAGTCTTTATATACACTGTACACTCGACAGATATATATATCGAGCATTTCGATCGCTCAACCACGCAAGTATTGCGGAGAGGAAGCTTTTCTTTACACTCGTTCATCTTGGTGTAACAAAAACAACATTTTATACGCGAGCAAAATTGACCAGAGGATTCGGATCATCGACCAGTTTCGATACATACATAAAAACACACACACAAAGGTTGACTTATGACAACAAAAGTTTCTTACCGGGAGAAAGATTGTACATCGCCGCATTACCTCTTCAAGAGCTTGTGCGAGAAGATCCTCTTCGAGTAGGGGCTGTTGCGCGAGATCGCCTTGTAGGATTCGATCTTTTCGACCAAAGAATTGTGGAGAGGGCCCTGAGATTCGATTGCGCGAAGATTAAGGTTAAGTTGGTTCGAAACTGACAAAAATGACGGAAGATTGGTGTGTGTGTACCTCAGAAACGCGGAGGGCGGTCTGAACGACGTAATTTGCATGAGGGTCTTGAAGCAACTGCTCGAAGTATGGCGCGGCGAGCAATTCGTTGATGATTTTCGAGCGCGTTTTCTCATTGCACGTCGTAAGACACTTTTCGACTACGTGGCTGCTGAATTTTTGCATCGAGAGATGCACATAGTTACCCTCGAATTGGGACGTCAGCTTGGCTGTGGCAGACGGAATTTTGAACTCCAAAATGTACTGAACGACGTAGTTCCTGCAAGGAAAATGCGATATGATATTTTTTGGTATAAAATATTTTAGGATTTTGAAGTTTAGTGAGGAATTACGACGAAATGTATAAGATACCCGAATGCATCTTGCGCGAGCTGAAGCCCGTTTGCTGAAATCTCGGCAACCAAATTATCTTGTAGCTTCCCGGTGGAAGTGCTGATGCATCGTTGCAGAACGCAGCATCCGTGTTGGTGTTTGGCAATGTCGACACAGTACTTAGCGGCAGCAACAAAGATGAACTGCAAGCGCATATCAAATCGTAAGATAAAAACACGAAGCACGTAATGAAATCTCAAATTAGCCCCCGTTTAGTTGAACTTACGAATATCGTCAAGATACAGTTTACGGGATAGTTTCATGTTTTTTATACACAAACAACAACAAGAACATGTAATAGCAACAAATGTGGATTATGACTGAATTACTACGGATTTCTTTCGAGTATGCTATTGTAAACAGGCTTAACTATTACACGAAATAAGATCAAGTTTTACTATAGACAGCCGACCAACAACTGATAGGCGCATGGCAATACAAAACCTACACTCATTTGTCACATTTGATCGTTGACGGGATATCATAACAACGATAAATCTAAATGATGATCCTATTGCTTGGTTGTTGTACATATGTCCAAATCATGGGAACAGTTACGATATTGATTTGGAAAAATGAACAGTCCAAATTAGCACCCGTAATATATATAAATAGCACAGTCATATTATACACAGCACATGTCTACACACAACATGTATTATATGTTCATAATTACAAATGTGTTGTATAACAGCATGCGGTGCGGTGTGCTATACGAGACTATAACAAATGTTATTAGTTCGTGTGTTGTATTTATATTATATTAACGCATATAGTGTACTGTTGATTGTATCGAAAAACAATATAATTCGATGCCACGATCAAGGCACATTCGTAAAATTGGCGACGAAGGGTTATATTACCTCACTATCCTCAGCCGTAAAGCATTGCAGACATCTTTGAATAACATGGTTCCCATTCAAGTCCTTGATGAGTGCAAGAAATCCCGGCTCGAGGGCAGAAATAACCAGCAATCTCTCCTGTTTCGTTTGAAGTGTCTCGATCAACTTCTGCACCACCCGAGTACTAATAACCGGAAAGAAAAGTTAAATCAATCGAAACATCGACTAAGGAAACGAAAATATGGCGACGACACACATACCCATGTGTGTTTAAAGAGATCCTAACGAGCTCGCCGGCCTCCTCCGTCACCCTCAGCAGCACGTGCATTCTCTGCTCGTCGCTGCACACCTCCAACAACTTCTGCATAAGATAATTCCCGAACGGATTCATCATAAGCTCCACCACGTGGTCGATTATCTCATCGAATATTATCTCCACGTCTTCGCGAGTTCCTTCGTCGAACATCCTTTGCAAGAACCTGCATCCGTGCTGATCCTTCGCGATTTGGTATATGTATCCATGAACTTCTGCTAGTGAGCTGCATTTCTGCGGCAGGGTCGCCGAGAAAAACATCCTCGGACTCCGGCAGCCATCTTGAGCCCTGGTTTTAGCATTTGCTCTGTTCATACCATAGTTCACCCCTTCCCCTTGAATGATCAAACTGTCTTCTCTGCTAACGGCATCGTCGCGGACATGGAACAGCGGCTTGTTTGTTCTGTAAGACATTGAAGTTTCATCGGTGTTTCGGGGCGTCGGCATTGGACAGAAAGGATTCCTTGCTTGAACTACATTCATCATCCGATTTCGAGGCGAAGGCATATTTAAAGATGAGGGTATATCGGATGAAATTAGTCTCATAGGGGAATTGTTAGCTCTGTAGAACTGAGGACTGAATTCATTGTTTCCGGCGAAGAAGCTTTCCGATCGGGCGGGGGAATACCGTGATCTTGAAATGTTCACAGCTCTTTCATCGCCACCGAAATCCAGAGGTCCTCTAGGAACAGAGAGATTGAAATTGAATCCATTCGTGTAACTATGGGAAGCTGCTCCGTACTTTTCGAAATTCACATTTACAGATAGATCGCAGGATTGGACACAGTTAGGGAATACCGGCGCCGGCGCCGGCGACGGCGGTGGTGGTGGAGCAGTGTCGTGCTCGTCGCTAATGTACAGAATGTTGAAACTCGCGGAGAGGTTGAAATCGTCCAAGAGATTCCCCTCGTTCCCATTGTAGAAATTCCTCCAGAATCCGGCGCCGGGGATCAAGCGGCTTTTGAGCTCCAATTGCGGCGGCGGCGGCGGCGATCCGATGTCCGACATCGAACGCGCGCCGCCGGAGAATAAGCTCGACGAGGAGCCGCCGCCGTCGGATTTCCGAGAAAACCCACTCTGCGTCAAAACGTCGTCGCTTTCGTAGTACCCAGTGTTGACGCCATGGCCGCTCAAAGCAGGCCACGGTGCATGTCCGCAGCCGAGATCGGCCACACTGCTCGGCTTCCGAGCGCCTCCCCACGCCGCCGGACGGAGATTCGGCGACGATGTCACATGAGGGATCTCGTCCAGCAACGTTTCCCACTCGTCGTCGTCCTTCATTGCTTCTACACTCTTCTTCTCCAGCATCCAAAATCCAAAAAAAAAAAAAAAAACCCTAGAACACCAAAGAACAACACTAGAAGCACAGAGTACAACACAGGAGCTTTTCCAGCACTGTCTATGGCGAAACGCCGGCCGGCGATTCTTATGATCGGAGCAGAGACGGAGGCATCGGGAAAACGATCAAGCGGCGGAACCCACTGGAGATTTTCCGAATTTCAGCACTGGGCCTCAGAAAACCAAAAGTCCCAATCATAAATATGGCGAAAGTGGGTGAGATTTCAAAAGCATTTCATTTTATTCTCGTTTTGCAAGATCAATAATAGTTTTTCTCTTTCATTTTTTTTTTTTTTTTGAGGGCGTTTGGGTTTCGGGATTTTCTTTTATTTTTTTATTTTTAATTTGGGAAAGAGTTGGTGAAGCATGCAAAGATGAATGGATTGCATATTTGCGATTTGCGAATTGCCATGGATGGTTTTACACACATCTATCTGTATCTATATATGTAAGAATACATACACACACAGACTCTGGTACAGTCTCACGCCATTAAAGCTGAAGAAAAGGAGCTCCTCCGCTCTCTCTCCTCCCCCTTTCTCTCAGTCTACTCCCACATACACTGTAATCACCTCTTCTGCAACCTTTCTTGGACCCAAACGCCGGGTAGATCTGGACCTTAGGATTCGTTAATTAACGGCTTAGATTTACCTGTCTCTCAGGTCCACGAATCTTGTTAAAAATATACATCGCTAAAATTATTTATTTAAGAAGTCCAGGGAGTTAAATACCGGATAAATCTGATTCGTTTGTAATTTGATGGACGGTATGGATTTACTTGGTTCTCAGGTCCATTAGCTTTGCAAGGTATTACCAACTGAGCTGGCGGCACTGCCTGGCCCTACAGCGCTGTCGACATCAAACGTTGTACGTGATTTTTTATATTACAACCAAAAATTAATTAAAAATTCAGTATTGTTTACTTAATTAAATATTACTTCAAGCACAATTAATTTTATTATTTTTCTTCTTTTTCTATTTTATAATAATTTATACTCCCTTCGTCTCGTATTTATATATTCATATATTTTTTAAATAAAAATTTTCAAAATATTAATATTTTATTGAGATAAAATATAAATAAATATAAAAAGATTAAATTAATCATATTAATATTATATAATATAAAAATAATGACATTTGTGTAATATATTGTAAATTAGAAGGGTGTTTGTAATGTTAACTGGATAATATAATTACTTTAAAAAAAATGAATACTTTGTTATAGAATTTACCAAAATAAAAAATAAATAAATAGATTATTAAGAAAAAGATCGGAGTATTTTTTATTTTAGGTAAAATTTAGCCAATCAATTATATTTAACAAATACTATATAAATTAAATTAATTAACTGTCTATCATATAAATCACTCAAATTTTTTTAAATCTATATCTTTTATATGAATAAATAAATATTTTTATTTATATTTAAAATTCAACGTCTTTTATAAAAGTAATTTTTGTTCCATGTCAATAAATAAATAAATTTTTATTTACTTATATTATAAAAAAAATTTATTTATATTATATATTTTTTATTTCCATATAATTTTTAAAATTTTTATTAGTGTATATTAAATTTAGTTTAAAATTATCAATATTATTAGTTATATAATATAGTATTATTATTAATTAATTAAACATTATTACTTTAAATATTTTGTACTTAACAAAGAGGTCAATTGATGAGCGATTAGCATGCTGAATTGAAAAAATCAACGCTGTGTTTCAGCACTCGTAATATATATAAACAATACAAAAACTTATTACGTGTTGTATAACAGTACGTGGTATGCTGAAATCAATTACTTCCTTCGTCTCACATGCTATGTCCACGTTGCCGTTTCTATCGGTCCCACATTCTATGTCACATTATTTTTTTGAAAAATGATTATACATTTTAATCTCATTTAAAACTTTTAAATTTATTTATTTAAATTTTTATTAAACTAATTAATTATCTTAATCTTAATTTATAATTATTTATATTATAGAATAATTAATTTTATTAATACATTCTTAATTACTTACTAATTACACTCCTTTTAAAATACTGTGTCTACAGTGTAGCAGACACGGTATGTGGGACTGAGGGAGTAGTATTTGTATTGTATAAAATCATAGCATGTGTTGTATTTGTATTGTTGGTTCATAATTACAAGTGTGATGTATAACCGTATGTTGTGTGCTGAAATCAAGTATTGATTGTTTTGTATAAGACTATAATATATGATACATTTGTATTATATGAATGCAAACTGTATATTACGGTATATTATCAGCACAATACTAAATTTTAAAATTCAGCATTGTACCCGTCGTGGTCAATTTATATGAATTCTAAGTATTTATAATAAAATATTTAGTGATGTGTTAATTCATTAATGATGATGGGTGAAGATTATTGTAATTAATCCAAAATTAAAAATCATCTTAGAGAATGCGTACAAACCACGTTTAACATTGTCAGGTGTCGCAGCCAATCATTTTCCCCACAAATTCCTTTTTTGTTTTTTAATATTTATTTATTTTTTATTAATTTTGGAATTAAAATAAAGTTTTATTACAATAACTATTTAAAATAAATAAATAATATACCTCCGTTCCACGTACCGTGTCTGCTATACTGTAGACACGGTATTATTTTAGAAGAAGTATAATTAGTAAATAATTAAAAATGTATTAGTGAAAATAATTATCCTATAATATAAATAATTATAAATTAAGATTCAGATTAAGATAACTAATTAGTTTAATTAAAATTTAAAAAAATAAAATTAAAAATTTTAAAATAAGATTAAAGTGTATAATCATTCTCCAGAAAATAAAAGTGACATGGTATGTGTAACGGATAAAAACGACAACGTGGACATGGTATACGGGACGGATTAAGTAATTAAATATTGGTCAAAACAAATCGTAACTGACTCTACTGTGTTTATTTCCACCTTTCACGGTTCGGATTCTTTATGAGATTTAATGTACTGAAATGACGGAAGTGCCCCTACTTTGGTCATAATTTATTCCCATTATGTTGGGAATACTAAACATGTGTTATTAAAAATTTAAATCAAAATTAATGATGATTTAGCATCATTATTATTTTCTATTTGCCAACAAGTTATTGTAAATAATTTTATTTTATTTTCCTTATTATTATTGTAATGAAGTAGTGATGAAGAAAATGTTTTGGTACTTTTTGGTTGTACACTCACAAAAAACAAATAATGGCATATGATAAATTAGGGGATTTTTTTATTACAATGCAATTGTTTTAATTAACCTTTACTTAAACAAAAATGTTACTATTTTTTTAATAAGGATATATGAAGGGAATTAAAATAAATTTTGTAGTAACAATAGGCTCTATTTAATTTGTTTTATTATTATTATTTTATGTTTGAATTTGTGTCTATATAGGTGTATGATTATATGTTTCATCAAAGAGAATATTTGCCCTCCAAGCTAATTTGTGCTCTTTAGTTTTAGATTATGTAATTAATAAATAATTAAAAAATGTATTAGTAAAAAATAATTATAATTTAATAAAAAAAATTATAAATTATAAAATTTAAAATGTGATTAAAGTGTAAAATTATATTTTCAAAAAAATAAATGACAAATTATATAGGACGAACGAAAATAAAAATAGTGAACAAATTAAGTGAGATGGAGTGAGTAATATATTTTTTACTATGAATCGAGAGAATTGTAAGGAAAAAAAAAACTCTACATAAAATAGACCCAAAATGAACTTTTTTTTTTTTTTTTTGGGTGCATTGTTTGTTTGTATCCTTACTTTTGTTCGAGGGTTTGGATTTTGAGTTGGGATTTGAATAGTAAAAATTTTGAATTTGAATAGTTGTATGATGTGATATAAATAGGTGTTGATGTGATGTTTTGAATGTAAAATTGATTTTTAGTATAATATAAAAAATGAAAAATAGGTATTTGATTTGATGTTTTTTGGAGAAAAAAATAGGATAAATAGTGGAAATCCAAACAAATCCCTCAAACAAACACACCCCTAGTTTATGATAAAATAATAGTTGAATGATATATTTTGTTTATTGGCAACCTTTGAATGATATTTGTACAGGAAGTAAAATTGTATTGTTGAAAACAATAAAATTATATAGTCATTGTGGATTTTAGTATTTAATTTTTAGATCGAAATAATTATTTAATATAATATTTTAATTATAAAATTAAATTTTTATGTAATATAAAAAAAAATTGAAAATAAAAAACAAATGAATAGTATCCAAAACCAAACAAGGTTAAGGAAATTTTTAATTTTAAATTAAAAAAATATTATTAATCCAGCATAATTTTTAATAAACTACATTATTTTTCTTATAAAATTAATATCACATCACAATAATAATATCATATAATATAAATATTAAATTAAAATGCGAATAAAAAAATCATTCGTACAACTATATTAGTATTTCAATAAATCAGTGTATTTTTTCTAACAAAAAATACATACATATATTTTTTAAAAAAATTAATATATTACATTAATTATTTTTGTATTCTACTTAGTGCCTGTTTATTGAGTACTATAATAATGAATGTAGCATGATTTATTCAGGAGGAGTGTGTTCTTTTATATATATTTTTGGATTTTATATTTTTATTTTATTTTGTCCAAAATTTTAAATTATTATTATAAAAATAAAGTCAAATTATTTTGTGTGAATTGCGATAATTTAGTAGTTTTTTTTTTAAAAAAATTACATATTAAAATATTAAACACGTCTATTTGTTTGTTTAGTATTTTGATTTGAAATTTTTTTTTTAATGCGAAATATAAAAAATCGTGTTAGTGATATAAAAATAATATTTTATATGAAATTATGAATTTTATAAAAAAGATTAAAATATTTGGAGAAAAAGATGTTAGGCAAACAATTGCATTAAAAGAAAGCCATCAAATGTAACCTTGCATTAACAATTAAATATCAAGAATTGGTAGTAGTCTTGTGGTGTGTTTATTTGTGTTTTTATATATTATCTATATATCCCTTTAGGTCTATTCCATCAATTTATTTTTGTCATTTTTTTAATAATTTAATTTTTAATAAAATAAATATGTATTAAATGCTATTGAGTATATCATAATTTATAAAATTATAATTAATACATTTATTAAATACTCACAATTAATAAAATCATAACTAGCATCCTTAATAATATTATAATTAATACAATTAATAGATATTTTGAAAATTAAAACAATTGATAAAATTACTAAAACTATTGTATAATACTATATAATAATTCTTTAATTATTTTAAAAATAAATAATTTATATTATAAATATATTTTTTATTATACTGATTTTTATATAAAAATTATATAATTATCATTAAGTAATTTTTAATATATAACTATTATATTATGATTATATATATTAACTAGAGAATTTT